ATCGAGTCCATCCTCACCTCTTCCATCACTGCAACGGATTGTCCGGTCTGCTGAGATGGTCATTGGCTGCTACCTGCCCTCCATCGAGGTTCTGCATGACTGCAGGGCAAGGAAGCGTGCAGGAAAGATAATCGCCGACCCCTTCCACCCCCTCGGCAAACGGTTCAGGTCAATCACGACCAAAACCTCCCGCCACCTGAACAGTTTCTTCCCCCATGCCGTGGTGCTCACGAACCGTCCGCCTGGTCCACGATGATCCTCTCATCCATGGACTTTGCACTATTCATCCACAGACTATGCGAAAGTGATATTAGGGACACACTGAAAATCTTAAATTAAATAATAATAAATACAATTATTATTATAATATTTGACGGGAGAGAATTTAACTAGGACTATAAAATAATGACGAAATATTTTAAATATGCTATTATTTTAAGTCATATTTCTCGTGGAAGATGAATAACACCCGGGTACATGGCAAAAACACATACATCCACACACAAAAATGTTAAAAATGCATAAAATTCCCTTTCAAGATTCATATTTTTGTGTTTAAGGTAAAGGATACCTGACCTTATATTTAAAGCCTTTTGGAATCCACATTTTACACTAAATAATAAGTGATTTTTCCTGGGGACAGAAAAGGAACCACTTTGTAGGAATGACTCAGCAATCGTTCACCTTTCTCGGTCCTCTTTCATCTCTACGGCCCTCTTTCATCTCTATGGTCCAAAATCCAGTTAGAGAGCAGTCAAGCTGTGATTGGTCCAAAAACCTGACCAATCGAGTTTCAGTAGACTGCTAGTAGACTATGTTCATTGGCTAGCATTTCCCCTGTTATAAAATTATAGTAAGCAGTTGCGAGCGCAAAATTGATTTTGGAGAGCAAACTGAAAAATTGGTGTGAGGGGGAGAAAATACAATAGTGTGGGGACGCTGCGTATTTGTGAGTGCAGTAATTTCGGAGTTTTACATTTTAATTTTAGTCATTTAGCAGACGCTCTTATCCAGAGCGACTTACAGTTAGTGAGTGCATACATTAATTTTTTATTTTTCATACTGGCCCCCCGTGGGAATCGAACCCACAACCCTGGCGTTGCAAGCGCCATGCTCTACCAACTGAGCTACACGGGGCCCATTGTTGACATGTAGTAAGTATTTCTTCAGGCGAACAAAAATCTCTGCTCTCAAATTAATTTAAGGCTACTGCATGCGGAAAATGCAGTTCTGCTCACTCAGTCGCACTCACAAGCTCTGTTTGCGCGCACCACGCTGGCCTGCGCTTGCGGCACCCGTCCTCTGCTTGCTCGACCACATTTCTTCTCTCGACTCAAGTGTTTGTTCGCGCAATGACGTTTCAATTTGCCCACGCGCCCGTTCGACTTTTCAATCCTCAAGTAAACTACAGCGTATGTCCTAGATCAGCGGTCGATCGCGATCAACTGGTCGATCTTCAAGGCATTCCTAGTCGATTACCAAACATTTCTGTAGAAAAGCCAACGATAAAAGCATACGCTCCTTTTTTTTTCATGTTGCGCTTACAGTAGAGAGTGCATACATGTAAATACTTGTTCGTACTGGTCCCCCGTGGGAATCGAACCCATTACCCTAGCATTGCAAGCGCCATGCTCTACCAACTGAGGCACATAATATCATCACAAACCACTTGATGTCTCAATGTACTCAATTACTGTATTGTGCATTGTTTTTCTTCATGGTGATAGAAAGTATACAGGGACAAACCTAGATGAACAGCCTATGTACAATACAGTAATGTACATTTATATTAAGTGGTTTGTAAGGATGGTAAATTAATACTGCACAAAGTGGTTGTTTTCCATGTTATATGATCAAGAAAATTATTTAATTTGATATGGATGTTTTGTGTCTTTGCCCATAACTTTGCACCTTTTGATGTAAATGTTTGAGGACAGGGTTTTGTTCTTTCTGGATTCTATTAGAATGACAATCGCAGAGAAAGGGACAGGGCAACAACTCTTACAATTCCAAGTATTGAATCCTGCAAGATATACAACTACCTTTCTTGCCAAAGCGGAGATGCTGGAAAAATATGTTTGCCCGCGCTACAGACGTTTATATCAGTCCACTAATACTAGTAAATTCCCAGTGCAATAATGTTGGGAAAAAATATTTATTTCGAAATATATATATATTTTTTCTTATTTTTCAGAGAACCCTCAGCACCCCTACTTCCCACGGTTTTGCCTTTGTCAATATTCAGCCTTACCATCCTCCTGACAGAATGGGGCCAGACATCATCCAGCATAAGACAGTGGAGGGAAAAGTGAGAACTTGAAAGAGAAACCAGAGCAGCTGCTCACACACAATGCTGCCATTAGACACCTGGTCCCCAGAGATACTGTTTATTTATTTAGAGTGAGAATAGATGGGGGGGAGCATGATAAGAGAGATGTGTTGTCAATGTTTGGAGTAGCCAAGTTTATACACTGCTCAAAACAATAAAGGGAACACTTAAACAACACAATGTAACTCCAAGTCAATCACACTTCTGTGATTTCACATGCTGTTGTGCAAATGGAATAGACAACAGGTGGAAATTATAGGCAATTAGCAAGACACCCCCAATAAAGGACTGGTCCACAGACCACTTCTCAGTTCCTATGCTTCCTGGCTGATGTTTTGGTCACTTTTGAATGCTGGCAGTGCTTTCACTCTAGTGGTAGCATGAAACGGAGTCTACAACCCACACAAGTGGCTCAGGTAGTGCAGCTCATCCAGGATGGCACATCAATGCGAGCTGTGGCAAGAAGGTTTGCTGTGTCTGTCAGCGTAGTGTCCAGAGCATGGAGGCGCTACAGGGAGACAGGCCAGTACATCAGGAGACGTGGAGGAGGCCGTAGGAGGGCAACAACCCAGCAGCAGGACCGCTACCTCCGCCTTTGTGCAAGGAGGAGCAGGAGGAGCACTGCCAGAGCCCTGCAAAATGACCTCCAGCAGGCCACAAATGTGCATGTGTTTGCTCAAACGGTCAGAAACAGACTCCATGAGGGTGGTATGAGGGCCCGACGTCCACAGGTGGGGGTTGTGCTTACAGCCCAACACCGTGCAGGACGTTTGGCATTTGCCAGAGAACACCAAGATTGGCAAATTCGCCACTGGCACCCTGTGCTCTTCACAGATGAAAGCAGGTTCACACTGAGCACATGTGACAGACGTGACAGAGTCTGGAGACGCCGTGGAGAACGTTCTGCTGCCTGCAACATCCTCCAGCATGACCGGTTTGACGGTGGGTCAGTCAGGGTGTGGGGTGGCATTTCTTTGGGGGGCCGCACAGCCCTCCATGTGCTCGCCAGAGGTAGCCTGACTGCCATTAGGTACCGAGATGAGATCTTCAGACCCCTTGTGAGACTATATGCTGGTGCGGTTGGCCCTGGGTTCCTCCTAATGCAAGACAATGCTAGACCTCATGTGGCTGGAGTGTGTCAGCAGTTCCTGCAAGAGGAAGGCATTGATGCTATGGACTGGCCTGCCCGTTCCCCAGACCTGAATCCAATTGAGCACATCTGGGACATCATGTCTCGCTCCATCCACCAACGGCACGTTGCACCACAGACTGTCCAGGAGTTGGCGGATGCTTTAGTCCAGGTCTGGGAGGAGATCCCTCAGGAGACCATCCGCCACCTCATCAGGAGCATGCCCAGGCATTGTAGGGAGGTCATACAGGCATGTGGAGGCCACACACACTACTGAGCCTCATTTTGACTTGTTTTAAGGACATTACATCAAAGTTGGATCAGCTTGTAGTGTGGTTTTCCACTTAAATTTTGAGGGTGACTCCAAATCCAGACCTCCATGGGTTGATACATTTGATTTCCATTGATAATTTGTGTGATTTTATTGTCAGCACATTCAACTATGTAAAGAAAAAAGTATTTAATAAGATTATTTCATTCATTCAGATCTAGGATGTGTTATTTTAGTGTTCCCTTTATTTTTTTGAGCAGTGTATTTATACTGAACTAAAATATAAATGCAACATGTAAAGTGTTGGTCCATGTTTCATGAGCTGAAATACATCACTATTTTTCCATACGCACAAAAAGCTTATCTCTCAAATGTTGTGCATCCCAGTTAGTGAACATTCCTCCTTTGCCAAGATAATCCATCCACCTGACAGGTGTGGCATATCAAGAAGCTGATTAAACAGCATGCTCATTACACAGGTGCACCTTGTGCTGGGGACAATAAAAGGCCTCTCTAAAATGTGCAATTTTGTCAAAACACAATGCCACAGGTGTCTCAAGTTGAGGGAGTGTGCAATTGGCATGCTGACTGCAGGAGTGTCCAACAGCGCTGTTGCCAGAGAATTGTTAAATTCTCTACCATAAGCCGTCTTCAACGTCATGTTCGAGAATTTGGCAGCACGTCCAACTGGCCTCACAACGGCAGACCACGTGTAACCACAGCAGCCCAGGACCTCCACATCCGGCTTCTTCACCTGTGGGATCGTCTGAGACCAGCCACCCAGACAGCTGATGAAATTTAGGCATATTTCTGTCTAATAAAGCCCCATTGTGGGGAAAAACTCATTCTGATTGGCTGGGCCTGGCTCCCAAGTGGGTGGGCCTATACCCTCCCAGGCCCACCCATGGCTGTGCCGCTGCCCAGTCATGTGAAATCCATAGATTAGGGCCTAAATATTTCAATTGACTGATTTCCTTATGAACTGTAACTCAGTAAAATGGTTAAAAATTTTGCATTTAAATTTTTGTTCAGCATAAATATAAGGGAGGCAGCTGAAGGGTTGACCTTTTATACAAGCCTCAAAGCGACAGGTTTAGAGCGTTGGGCCAGTAACCGAAAGGTTGGTTTGAATCTGAGCAGACTGAAAAGTCTGTCGATGTGGCCTTGAGCAAGGCACTTAACCCCAATTGCTCCTGTAAGTCACTCTGGATAAGTGTCTGCTAAATGACAAATGTAAAACTTCATTCCCACCAAAATGAAGAAAGACAGCATAATCAGGATACTGGGATTTATTTAAGAAATTAAAGTTATTCTGCACAGAAAGCATTCAAGACCTGTGGCAACTACAATTTTACAACCACACAAAATGTACATTGAAAATGTAAAACGAGCTAATAGAAAAACGTAATATTAAAGGAAATGTAGCAGACCTTGACAAGTCAGCCTGAGAGTCCATTCACAGCTTTAAAAAACATTTTAGGGGGTAGATCAGTTTTAATATTGCTGTGTGTGGCTTCTAGCAATATAATTATCTGCATCATTTCCAAGAATACGCCAACTTAGTTCCTTGTACTCCAAGCTGCTTGGTCGGGAACCAGTGCATTTACTTCATCCTCTCAAGTTGAATGCACTGTAGGCCTCATTCTTTCTCTGGAGACTTGCAGACATTAAGCAGCCGTATTCCAGGGAGTGCCATTATCCATAAGTGATGGAGTGAGCACACACACGTCCTAATTTCTAGCAAACTGATGGTCATATCTTGAGTGAAAGAAAAGCCTTGTGGCAATCCTGACAGTTAAACCCCCAACAAAACATGGGGCTGCCAGGCTCCTTAAGTCACCTGTGCAGTCTTCAAGGCCTTTCACTGGATTATACCTGTTGAAATGATAACAATTCACAAGTCACCCTGTTGAGCAACTAAAACAAAAACACTTCCCTAAGTGTGACAGATTGAGAATGAGGGAAACATTGATAACGTAATTGGAAAACACCAACATTCCCACCCTTCTTCCTGAGTTTTGTCTAGCAGTGAGTACTTTGTCACAACACTGGTTTGATTTTCTACTACAGCTGGTAAAGACCTTGACAAGTCAGCCTGAGGGTCCATTCACAAAACATTGCAGTTGGTTGTGAAGAGGACTAGCTTTCTGGCAAAATTCAACAAGCACACGCAAAATGAGGAATACTCAGGTGGAGATGGCAAACTTTGTTCACTCATGGTTTCATCGGTTTTCCTCAATTTAAGTAATAGTAAAACCAAAAATAGTGAAGCAGCTTTAGCCTTGTTAAATTCCATGACATTGCTGAATAGTAATGGATGACTTACCATGAGGACTTTATTCAGCTCAAGTCCGATGCCTTTCTCAAACCCAGAGAGGGACTTATTCGGAATACCTGGGGACAGAAATACAATGAGACCCTTGTGCAAGTGCTGTTGACAACTAACATGTACTTGAAGTTGAACACGATCATTCATGCAAGACTAACATTTCACTGCAAAAGTCATGCAACTCAAGCTGAGGTTTTAGGTATTTTTTGTAACCATGACTTTTAACATTATTCTAAAACAATACCAAACAAAAATGCCAGGGAGGGCAGTTGAACTGATTGGACCATAAACTGTGTATTCAATTTTAGCAAGAGTTGCATTACAATCATTTCTAATAATTTTGTACAGCTATTTTATTTGAGACAGGTTATCATAGCATATTATGAAGGTATGCATTTTTGGACAACTGGTTTTGGATGACTAGCAGGTTCTAGCATTTTGTGCATAAGACAAAAAATCTAACAAATGACAGTTGGGGTTCATTTTACCTTCTTGATGTGATCTTTAGGCTTTTAGCATCCTCTCCCCTGCGATATTTTTCTTTAATAAAACCAGCCAGCATGACTTTGCATCAAAGTCAAGTAAGATTCCTGCAAGCTTGACTTGAAATACTGTTGAAAATCAGTTATTTCAAATGACTAAAAAGACATGGCTCATTGGGAAGCTTGAGGAAATGTGCTGTCGTAACAATCGACTTCAAATAATACAAGTCCAGGCACTATATCATTGTCAAGCGAAGTATTTGGAAATACATTACCTTAAGGTACCATCGTTATTTTACGTGACATAATGGGTCTCTTCTAGATCCTTTTTAATAGAGAGAGAGAGATGAAGAGGATGTGCTCTTTATCAAAAATAGAGCAGACGTTCTTTTTGGTTGCTTTTGTCTCCTATGTACATACAATAATCTGGTGATTGTTTTGGAGTTTTGTGAAGAACCTCAAAATGAGGACCAGTTTTATTAGTGGAAGGCATTACTATACAACAAAAGCAAAATACCAGGTTTAGTTAGATAAAAAAACAAAACAAATTAGGCTTTATTGATACAACGCACTGCAGCAAAACATTTGTGGATATATTTAGTATCCTATTTAGGCAAGATTACACACGTAGCACTATGCATTTTGGAGACTGCACAACTTTAGATAGCAATATACAATTGTCCTTAGTTTATGTACATAATATTGAGTTGGCTGCAGTTTTCCCAAATCTTTGTAGGACACCTAACAAAGAGTAATTTACCAGAATTTCCATCAGTCAGCCCAATAAGATGTAGATAAAAGTAAGCCAATCGCAAAAGTTATCTAAAGTAGAATGTACTATACAATCAAGTCAAATTGAAATGACTTGGAGATATTTTAGGACAGACCGTCTCAAGTGTCTAATAAGGCTAGATTTCAAAACTCTATAAGAAATTAAAAAAAACATTGAAACCTATGGAATTTTAGATTCTACAAAAATTATTTGTCCAGAAAATTATTTAGGTTATTCCCCATTCAATCTAAGTTGCCGATGTTACATTGTCATTAATCAAGTTTATTAGCTAAAAAGACTTTTGAAATGCAGCCTAAATGGGAGTCTGCAACTGCCACTGAATCCTCTCATGAAGACAGACAAACTGAAATAACATTTTTGAACATAAAACTACACAATGTATCACGTTTTTTTAAAATCTCCAAGTACCCATTAAATTAGATCTTAAAACTCAATGATGCAGTGGAAACAAACATTGAATGAAAACGTATTATCAAAATCCTTGCATTTGCTTGCTACGCCCACTCGATGCAATACATCCAATTGTCCTGCTCTCAAACCATAAAAAAAAGAAAAGTAAAATGAACATAGAGGAAATTTACTTCTGAGAATTAAAAGCGAGTTACAACGGGAGACAGTTGCCAGGGCAACCCTCTACCGGAGGCCGTTCAGTATCTTCCGTATGGATGCTCTCTGTAGGACCCCCGCTTATCCTGCCTCGCAGGAGGGGCTTTGCCTCCAGTGGCAGGCCACGAACCCTCCCAATCGTCCTGGGCTACGAGAGAAAATACACACAAAGGTCAATGCTTGGATACATGCAGTGTGAGGATAAAGAGCGGTGGTCAATTCACTCACAGCATAAAAGTACAACACATTGACACAAGACCGGTTTGGCCCAATAATGTCATTTTCAATATCTGAGAATGTATGTGAAAATAAGAATGTGTTGGTTGTCCTAACTTCTTTCACCACCATTAATTTACTATCATCTTACCATATGGTTCATAGGCCTCCTGAGCCTCTCCATGTCCATAGTCATAGTACTCTGTGTCCCTGAGAAGAGAAGAGGATGTCAGACAGTCTGACTACATTTAATATTGTGAAGGGAAATGTCTGGGCCCCTACAGCATACACTGTTGAAAATGTGGTACAACATATCAGTTTAATTACAAAAGGTTCCCTGAAATACAAATCACTACATGCCTGTTAGAATCCAGACCAACCACCTTGATCTTAAGTGACAATTCATATGCAAATGCTGAACAGAGTCCGATATTACAATATTCTACTGAGGATTGGCCACCTCATGTTTAAACTCACAATCAGCCATTACACTATGAGATAGAAACTTACGCTTGTGGAGGTTGTTGACTGTAATAGTTGTCATAACCTTCATATGCAGGCTCAGCATAGCTTTCTTCATAGGCAGGCTAGGGAAAAGACAACATAAGCCATTAACCACAGAATGACAAGGTACACGTACAACATACAATGCTACAGGCCTGTCAGAATAAACAACTCAAGTGGACTAGAAAGGTTCCATGGGGCTGATACCAATGATTTCTATAAACCCTGGATTGCTGATGCTATGCATTGGCCATTGAGAGACTGAAGCCAACGGTCAGCCATTTGTCAAAGTCAAAATCACATGTATACATTTTTAACATTAGTAATCTCAATTATACTTTAAGGATTTATAATTTTATGTAAAACGAATGTAGACACTCCCTGGTCAAGTTTAGTGACAAGATGGAGGCACGGTTACTCCACCATAGCGCCCCTTATCAGTGATCTAGTGTACATATAAATCATTGGCAGATAACCATGAATGAAGAGGTGACATGTCTCCCATGATAAATAGACCTACAATAAATAAAGACCTTAAACTGACAGCTCCTCTTTAGTTCTGAAAGAAACTAGGTGCACAACCCAATGACTTAACAATTGAGTGGTTTGACGTACATATTCATCGTAGGCCTCAGCCTTGGGTGGTGGTGCGTGTTGGTGCTGATGTTGCTGGTGGGAGTGGGCTGGGGACGGGAGCATCCTTTGCGTCCCTGGGGTGGGGGGTCTGGAACGTTGTGCTGTGCCTCCTCTAGCAGGTGTGGAGGGGGGTCCACCCCGACCAGCTGGAGCCCCTCTGGCCGACCCACCCCTGGGTGGCCCTCCTCGGGAAGCTCCACCACGAGGGGCTCCTCCACGAGGTGGCATTCCTCGCCCCCTGAAGAAAAATACAATATTTGTACATTTAAACTGGGAAGATTCTGAAGTATTTTGGTCTTGAAAATTACGGGGACGTCAAAGGCACAGAATCCTACCTGGCTCCTGCAGAGTTGGGTGGGGGTGCTCCCCTACCCCTGCCCGGAGGGCCCCCTCTTCCCCTGGATTGTGAGTCCTGACCTCCATTTAGGTAGCCAATCTCCATGAACTGATCCTGGCAGATACCATCCATGGTGTCCTGCTTATAAATAAAGAAAATAGTAGCTACATTAACATGGCAGGTCCATGATTAGAACATTAGAAAATCTTGGGCCATTGCTAAGCCATCATAGATCGACCCATAGATCACAACTTTAACTGTCTGTGGCTGAAGCAGGATGCTCTCTGGGATACTTACAGGGATGAGGAACTTCTTGACCTCGTCCATGGCATGAGCCATGCGCAGGTATGCCTCAGGTATGGGGGCAAACACCTCTATGAAGACATGCAGTTCCATGCCCAGATGAGCATATTTGGGCTCACCACCCTTTCTCAGCTCTTCCTCCTGAAATTCACAATGTAAAAATTACATTATAAACTGGGTGGTTCAAGCCCTGAATGCTGATAGCCATGGTATAGCAGACCGTATATCACGGGTATGACAAAAACATTTATTTTTACTGCTCCAATTACATTGGTAACCAGTTTATAATAGCAATAATGCACCTTGGGGGTTTGTGGTAGGCGGCAAATACCACGGCTAAGGACTATACCACGTGCATAAGAACAGCCCTTCGCCGTAGTACACTGCTCAAAAAAATAAAGGGAACACTTAAACAACACATCCTAGATCTGAATGAAATAATCTTAAATACTTTTTTCTTTACATAGTTGAATGTGCTGACAACAAAATCACACAAAAATGATCAATGGAAATCAAATTTATCAACCCATGGAGGTCTGGATTTGGAGTCACCCTCAAAATTAAAGTGGAAAACCACACTACAGGCTGATCCAACTTTGATGTAATGTCCTTAAAACAAGTCAAAATGAGGCTCAGTAGTGTGTGTGGCCTCCACGTGCCTGTATGACCTCCCTACAACGCCTGGCCATGCTCCTGATGAGGTGGCATATGGTCTCCTGAGGGATCTCCTCCCAGACCTGGACTAAAGCATCCGCCAACTCCTGGACAGTCTGTGGTGCAACGTGGCGTTGGTGGATGGAGCGAGACATGATGTCCCAGATGTGCTCAATTGGATTCAGGTCTGGGGAACAGGCGGGCCAGTCCATAGCATCAATGCCTTCCTCTTGCAGGAACTGCTGACACACTCCAGCCACATGAGGTCTAGCATTGTCTTGCATTAGGAGGAACCCAGGGCCAACCGCACCAGCATATGGTCTCACAAGGGGTCTGAGGATCTCATCTCGGTACCTAATGGCAGTCAGGCTACCTCTGGCGAGCACATGGAGGGCTGTGCGGCCCCCCAAAGAAATGCCACCCCACACCACGACTGACCCACCGCCAAACCGGTCATGCTGGAGGATGTTGCAGGCAGCAGAACGTTCTCCACGGCGTCTCCAGACTCTGTCACGTCTGTCACGTGCTCAGTGTGAACCTGCTTTCATCTGTGAAGAGCACAGGGCGCCAGCGGCGAATTTGCCAATCTTGGTGTTCTCTGGCAAATGCCAAACGTCCTGCACGGTGTTGGGCTGTAAGCACAACCCCCACCTGTGGACGTCGGGCCCTCATACCACCCTCATGGAGTCTGTTTCTGACCATTTGAGCAGACACATGCACATTTGTGGCCTGCTGGAGGTCATTTTGCAGGGCTCTGGCAGTGCTCCTCCTAGCACAAAGGCGGAGGTAGCAGTCCTGCTGCTGGGTTTTTGCCCTCCTACGGCCTCCTCCACATCTCCTGATGTACTGGCCTGTCTCCTGGTAGCGCCTCCATGCTCTGGATACTACGCTGACAGACACAGCAAACCTTCTTGCCACAGCTCGCATTGATGTGCCATCCTGGATGAGCTGCACTACCTGAGCCACTTGTGTGGGTTGTAGACTCCGTCTCATGCTACCACTAGAGTGAAAGCACCGCCAGCATTCAAAAGTGACCAAAACATCAGCCAGGAAGCATAGGAACTGAGAAGTGGTATGTGGTCACCACCTGCATAACCACTTCTTTATTGGGGGTGTCTTGCTAATTGCCTATAATTTCCACCTGTTGTCTATTCCATTTGCACAACAGCATGTGAAATTTATTGTCAATCAGTGTTGCTTCCTAAGTGGACAGTTTGATTTCACAGAAGTGTGATTGACTTGGAGTTACATTGTGTTGTTTAAGTGTTCCCTTTATTTTTTTGAGCAGTGTATATTGGCCATATACCACACCCCCTCCCCGGGCCTTATTGCTTAAATTAAGTCTGATGCTGTTCTGTAAATTTCCCCATTACACATCCGATTGCTGCAAAGTTTGATTCAAAGGGACTCTTCACATGTACCCGGTCAGCGCCTCTCGCCATTCTTACCTTTGCCTTGTCCCTCATGGAACCTTTGCCCAACACTGAGATCTTTGCTCCGGTCTCCTCCTGGAGTCGCTTGATAGTGTTCCCCTGGGGTCCCAGAATCTTACCAACGAAGTTGAACTGTAGAAAGAATTTGAAAAAAAATAACATTGATATTACGTTAACAGCCTCTGTTGTTGGTGCAGATTGTTTTATTCATCAGGGATATTGATCCATAATATATCAAGTCAAATTTTATTGGCCACATGCGCCTAATACAACAGGTACAGACATTACAGTGAAATGCTTACTTACAGCCCTTAACCAACAGTGCATTTTTTTTTTTTTATTATAAAAAAGTAAAATAAAACAAAAGTGTTGAGAAAAAAAGAACAGAAGTAAATAAAATAACAGGAGGGAGGCTATATATACAGGGGGGTACCGGTGCAGAGTCAATGTGTGGGGGCACCGGCTTGTTGAAGTAATATGTACATGTTGCTAGGCTGTGGAATACACCATATCACAGCCTATCCAACCTGTAGCGTGATGCACGTCTTTCCCGTCCCGTCTAAGGGAGAGCAGGGACAGACTGCATTAGACAGGCAAGCATGTCCGAGCCAGTCAGTCTGCTGCAGCAGGGGGCAAACCAGGCCAGAGCAGCTAACATTCATAGATTCATTCGTCCCTCAGGCACTCTAGCGTGACTGCTAGGACCATTTGGTTTCTCCTCAACCGTTTTCCCTTAAATCATGCAGGAAAAAGAGGGTGAGAACCTGCCCAGGAGACTGAGCTCTGTCCATGTTTAATGGCGGTAAATATGAGAGCTCAGTTTCAGCACTTAAGAGGAATGAATTTCAATTATCTGATATGGTCATACCAACAGTGCACTTTCTGCAATTATTGGCCATTTATGTGGGCTATTTAGTATTAATTTATATGGGGGTCTTAAACCTTGAGCATGAGTCGGTTCGGCTGGCACCTAGCCGAACTCTGCTAGGTGACCTGAACGAGCGTGCTTGCAAAACGACAATAGTACAGTTTGTCCATCTTGAGACGCCATAGCCAGTATACACATCCTCAAGAGTCTGAATTAATTTAAGATAACTCAAGAAATTAGTCATTAGACATTTTTGCAGAAGAGCTCTTAGCCACGCAATTTTACATCCAACTAAGATGTTTGGTGCAGTATTTCTCCAGTGAAAATTTGCATGAATGACACTTGACCAATCACCAACGAAGAGACCAAAAAAAAAAAAAAAAAAAAAAAAAACTGAAATAACCCTTGCCGAAGACCAAAACTTAACTAAATGTAGTCATAATATATGCACAACATTCCGGATGGGAAGCATGCGGACGTCTTTACTCTGCATGTCAGAATGAGCACTGTGACATGCCATTCCAACTTCACTCCGCTGAAATTAAAAAGTTAAGGTCACTGAAAACCCTGAGGGGTGGAAGTTGTGTTCGTTCCATGTCAGTGACGCGAGTCCCTTGACAGTAAAGGAGAGCCAGACATGAAGTAGGGCAAGGCCCCAACTGGCAGACAATTTTATTTGGCCTTTCAAATGATTTTAATTTTGAAATTCTGTTCCAAAGTATTCCCACGCATAATAGAGGGTGAACACTCAGTGGCCAGTTTATAAGGTACACCACCCCATTCATGAAAATGGGTCGCTCCTAAAGCAGGCAGACAGGCATCCAGTTACTGTTCTATTGAACGTTAGAATGGGCAAATTGAGTGACCTAAGAGACTTTGACTGTTGTATAATCGTCGGTGCCATGTGCGCCAGTTCCAGCATCTCAGAAACGTCCAGCCTCCTGGGATCTTCATGTACGACCTTGTCTAGGGTTTACCGAGAAAGGTGAAAAAAACATCCAGTCAGCGGCAGTCCTGTGGGCGAAAACAGCTTGTTGATGAGAGGTCGAAGGAGAATGGTAAGAATCCTGCACGCTAACAGGCTGGCCACAAACAGTGCAGTACAAAAGTGGTGTGCAGAATGGCATCTCGGAACGCACAACTCGTCGGTCCTTGTCACGGATGGGCTATTGCAGCAGACGACCACACCGGGTTCCACTCCTATCAGCTAAAAACAAGAAGCGGCTCCAGTGGGCATGCGATCACCAACACTGGACAACTGAGCATGAGTCAATGGCCCCATCCTGCCTGGTGTCAACGGTACAGGCTGGTGGCGGTGGTGTAGGAAATGTTTTCCTGGCACACGCTAGGTCCCTTTAGCGTTTCCATGCCTCAAACAATTCCAGCTGTTCTGGGGGCAAAGGGAGATCCTACCTAGTACTAGATGGGTGTACCTAATAAACTGGTCACTGAGTGTATGTGACCATATAATGGTTTAGTCCAATATTATATCAATTTTGACTTCTTGCTGTCTACAAATGTTTAATTATAAATCTGCTAAATAAAATAAAATTGGTCTCCGGCTTAATCTAGTTGATCCCTGCAGTAAGGTGTTGTTCAATTATAATGTATGCTTTGAACTTGGTAAATGTCCCCCCCAAAGTAAAAGTAATCACATTTTAAAAGCAATGGCCCAAACTGCATGTTTCTATCATAAATCGTTCAGAAGTTAGGCTAAAAATTGGACACAACAAAAAAGTAATTATAAGGACTCTTTCGATGGAGACCAAGAGAAAACGTTACTCACTCTTGGGTACTGCTTGACGGGAATAAGCACACGTTCCTTGACCTTGATGTTCTTTGTGGTAAACAGGTCCAAGTACGTTTCTCTTTCGGTCTCTTTCTTGGACTCTCCTTTCTGAATCCTTTCGATCTCTACAGACAGGAATACATGGGTTTTTACTTTTAGTAAATCACTGTATCATTGTTAAAGATTGATCATAAACGCATAGTGCAAGTGCTTCGTGAAATGTTCATAATTCACAAGTAATTAGCAGAGCTCGGTCAAATCCAAGTGTAGAAAAATGTAAGTAGCAACATCTGAGCAATGCCCTACTAGAGAACATCCTGGAGTCATAAGATAAAAGCCAACTGATCCAGACACTTTAGCTCCCTCATTTCCTCACACAAAGACAACTGGCATAGAACTGAGACAGTTGTGTGACACCCAACAGTGACATGCTGTAGGGATTAGAGACTTTGCACAACCGCCAGCATCCCAATACATAATGGGGAAAACTGAGCTCTGCTTACCAGATAGACATCCTTATAATTATGAAAGCCTCAGAACTGGCAAACATGCCTGATAAAAATCCTACTGAAAATTACAAGCTGGCCTTTAGTCTTCAACCCTGATGCAGTAATCGTTATGATTGGGTGCAATGGGGAAGTTAGGGCGAGTCTCAAGAATCAGACACACACCATTCATTTGACATCATAGACAAAAAGTGGCTGATCAGACTGTAGAATACAAATTTGTCCCTAAAACATCTAAACTTGTAATGCACGTTCATGTTTAGTTTGAGAGACATGTAGTGGTGAACTGTCTGGTAGAAATTGGCACTGGGGGAGAGGCAAGCTGTAATAAAGTAGTTAACTGGCACTGCAGCAGGATGAAGCCATTTATAATCTGGGTCTGACACTTAATACAGAAACCACATTTTTATAATAAAAAGACAGGCCAACCGGACATCCTAGACAATGCTCAGTTTCTGACTACCATTACAGTAGCCTTGAAGTTGCTGGCAGAGGTTCCAACATATGTAACAATTTCCTGCCTACAGAATTGTACAGTAACTTTTTGCTGCAGACATCACATTGCAGATGTGCAAGATAGCTGGTGTCTACTATCAATTTCAAATATCTGCCAGAAACTCAGGAATCCAGCTGTAAACAATCATATTTTACAAAACTGACTAGCTAACTACACATTTTTACAGCACTAACAAATAAGCAGCCCCATTTCATATAACGTTAGCCAACTAGCTACAGTTCCAAACAAAACAGCAAGCCAACCTGACGTCACTGACTGGCTAACACCTGGTGGAAGAAAAAAAATCCCAAATGGGGACGCAGCCTTCCATAAGCTTTACAATTTGTATGTTGTTGGGGAAAGATCCACCCCCAGATATTCACCTAATGTCAATTTGAAGATAGTCCATGTTACCACTCATGGGTAACATGGACTATTGGAACTCATCATACCTTTAAGGTTCTCGTCACTTGAGATCGGGAATAACACACTAACATTTCATAACGCTTTAAAAACAATGACCTGCACTTCCGATCGTCAAATCAGCCAATAGATGGCATGGATATACTTGTCTAGAAAGCATCCACTCGTCTATATCATCATGACAATGTATATTTTTCACTTAGATGTGCTCAAAGTAATCAGTGGATCAAATTATTCAACTCCGTTTTCCCTTCAAATCCCATCACGGAATGCGATTTTCTCCCCTCCCCCTACTCAATGGTGCTCTAACACGCGGAGGGGAGAAAGTCGCGTTTGTGTGGCCAAAGGGCAGTTGCAAATGGCAAACTCCACTGCCAGGCACATGATCTGCATGTTGAATATGGTGATAGCTGTAAAATCGTCTATACGAACTGCACTAAATGGCTACTTCACATGCGGATATTATTGTGTGTAGCTACATTAGCTAACAAGCAAGATAGCCAGCCCATAGAGCAGGGTTGGGCAACAGCATAGGCAGCCGATAGGAGGCGCTAAATCTGCAATGTCTACTAGGATTTATGTGCATTCCGGTCATACGCCAGTGTCCCACGTGGACCGACTCGTACATAAAGCATCCTCAGTTCAGGCTGCAAAGGCATAATTTTCCTCTTTAACCAGCTTTAATTGCGAGCAGATGGAGAAAAAAAACTGGGAAAATGTGTACCATCTTAAAACAATTTCCCCACCATTTTCAGACAATTTAGGCTATTGCACACCCTTGCCTGAAGATGGTAAGCAATTGTGTTTAATTAAGGCGATACGCATTTTTCCCCTTTCCCCCCGCGGTTCGCCATTAGATGGTTAAGGAGGGAAATTATGCCTTGAAGCCTGAATGAAGGATGCTTTATGTATGAGCCGGTCCACAGGGGTTACAAGTGTATTACCGGGAATGCACAATCCTAGATGATAGTGCAGATCTAGCGCCAACTACCTGCTGTCTCGGCAACAAACCGCCCGCAAGCACATTCAATCTGGCGGGCAGGTTTGAGTAAAAAAAATAGAATTGTTCCAACAAAAACAACATCTGTGCCGCCCTCTGCTGAATTTTTGAATCCCCGTGTGGCCCTCTAGACAATTATTGCTCACACCTGCCATAGAGATTTTCACATGCTGCTAGCAACTTGATTAACATTTTAAAATATTGTTCACAAAAAAATATTGTTCTCACATTTGTGTTACTTCACACTGTAAATCATAGGAATACGTGGTTTTGGGTGGATTATCCCTAACTACATCCCTACACCCCCTACTTGGTGCCATGCCTCTTCATTAGAGCCTCGTGTTAACGTGCCTTTCTTTCCACGGCAACCATTGCCCAAGCCAAGAAAAATGTTTTACATTCTATACAACACAGAGCTGTGTGGCTTTAGTCAAAGCCATGGCATTTATGACAAATATTAACGAGTTAGGTCAACGTTTCACAAATAGTTTGTTGTAGTAATCAAAGGGATAACGTTATCGTTACAAATCAGAACGGTTTGACTTCTAGCAAGCTACAATGCGTTAGCTAGTCATCGTCATTCTTTCAACTACATCAGCTAACTTAGCTACTAGCAAGTTAGCTGATTCAGGAGTCACTGCGAATGTCCATTTTAATCAAAATATTTGTGTGATATATTACCTGCAGATATCAGTTTCATTGCGTGAGTAAATGACGAATCCAGGCTGTCTTTTTCTGCCAGAAGCTCGGGGAGATATTTGCTTTCATTCTCCATTTTGCCTTTTTTAGGCTCAGGCTTAGCGTCGGAACTCATGTCGCTCACGTTCTGCAAAGCTTTCATTCACTTTGTTTCCAATCGGTCAGCAGTGCCCCAAAACAACGTACTGTATGACGTTCACTAGCTTGATGTTCTCAACTATGTTGTTCCTCGGCTAACGTTAGCTACACTTTGTCCGTATTTAAGCGGTAAACCAGAGCGGCCTGCCGTTGTGGACAAAAGAGATTGAGAGAACCGACGATGTTCTTCTTGTACAAAAATTACGTCACATGTTTTATAAATCGGAAACGAGGCTGCCTAGTGGATTTAAAGAGGCAGTGTTTTTGAGTTGATGGACAGTGAGTTGGCAACGTTCAACTTTTTGATGTCAAGAAAGCAAGAATATAAACGACTTATTTTGTTGATTGTGCCCTAATTTGTGGTTTGCCTGTACAGCAAAAAATCTGTTTATCAGCTGATACCTAACTGAGTAACTCTTTGCAGAAGGCTAAATGCGTCCTCATTAGTTTGATTTTGTTTTGTCTTTAATCCAAACTGAATCAGGATCACAATATCTTCTTAGACAGAATATTAGTTAGTTAAAACCTCTTAAGCTGACAGTCCCCAACATTGGGCACTATAATTACTTAAACATATATGCATATGTTTACATTACTTATTTTATTGATGACCCACCGTTTTATATGTCAGAAGATAGCCACCCAGACATTCCTATGACTGCGTCAATGTCCTCTGTCGAATGAACGTGTATTTGCCTCCCTCTGGTGGTGTGCTGCATTATTACATCTCTTTATATCACTTCACTGCAACGTTACGTCAAAAGGGCGTTTTCTTTTTTTTCAGCTCGACTGCTTCACGGAACAGACATGTCAAAGCAATCTGCTGAATTTGTCTTGAGCAGTCGGATCTAAATAAATAACTTTCATAGCTCTACGATAAAGAACTCGACCTACAAACTTCCTTAAATCTAAAATAAGTAATTAAGTTATTTTGTGTGGAAGTCAAACATTTGTTTTATGTCGGAGGCAGACACATTGCATATGATCAGAATGAGAAAATCGCTCCCTTTACATAGCCCTTCTCCCCTTGTCTATAGGAGGGATGCACGCTGTTTAAATGGCCCAAATGTTGATTTAGACGTTCACAAACTTAACAGATTCTGACTATCACTAATGTCATGATATGTCTGGTAAAGTAATAAAGATGGTGAAATATTTTGGGTCGATGTTCCTAAAACAGATTATAACTATATATGGACATATGAAGTATGAAAAGGATTATTCATTCACTTTCTTTTTAAATTGTATCATACCATTGTATTTGTATATATTTTATTATACTTTTATTGTGTACTAGATCATAGTGGGTTGAAATGTGTTTCTTTCTCAGACATAAATAAACAATTCCAGGAGAAAGCCAAACGTCATAGCTTTATAGTGGGGGAAACACTACTACATTAATAAAATATTGCCCTCTTCAAATCCAATTTTATTTGTCACATGCCGAAAACACAGGTATTCCGTGAAATGCTTACTTACAAGCCCTTAACCAACAATGCAGTTCAAGAAATAGAGTTAAGAAATTATTTACTAAATAAAATAAAATAAAAAGTAACACAATAAAATAATGAGGCTATATACAGGGGGTACCGGTACCGAGTCAATGTGCGGGGGTACAGGTTAGTCGGGGTAATTTGAAGGTAGGGATAAAGTGACTATGCATAGATAACAAACTGCGAGTAGCAGCAGTGTAAAAACAAAGGGGGAGGGGCTGGGTTTCCCTTTGTAGTCCTTAAAAGTTTGCAAGCCCTGCCACATCTGACGAGCGTCAGAGCAGGTGTAGTATGATTCAATCTTAGTCCTGTATTGACGCTTTGCCTGTTTGATGGTTCGTCTCAGGGCGTAGCGGGATTTCTTATAAGTGTCCGAATTAGTGTTCCCGCTCCTTGAAAGCGGCAGCTTTAGCTCGGTGCGGATGTTGCCTGTAATCCATGGCTTCTGGTTGGGATATGTACGTACGGTCACTGTGGGGACGACGTCGTCGATGCACTTATTGATGAAGCCGGTGACTGAGGTGGTATACTCCTCAATGCCATTGGATGAATCCCGGAACATATTCCAGTCTGTGCTAGCAAAACAGTCCTGAGCGTAGCGTCCGCGTCATCTGACTACTTCCGTATTGAGCGAGTCACTGGTATTTCCTGCTTTAATTTCTGCATGTAAGCAGGAATCAGGAGGATAAAATTATGGTCAGATTTGCCAAATGTAGGGCGAGGGAGAGCTTTGTATGTGTGGAGTAAAGGTGGTCTAGAGTTTTCTTTCCTCTGGTTGCACGTGACATGCTGGTAGAAATTAGGTAAAACGGATTTAAGTTCGCTTGCATTAAAGTCTCCGGCCACTAGCAGCGCCACTTCTGGATGAGCATTTTGTTGTTTGCTTATGGCCTTATACAGCTCGTTGAGTGCGGTCTTAGTGCCAGCATTGGTTTGGGGTGGTAAATAGACGGCTACGAATAATATAGATAAAAACTATCTTAGTAGATACAGTGGGGGAAAAAAGTATTTAGTCAGCCACCAATTGTGCATGTTCTCCCACTTAAAAAGATGAGAGAGGCCTGTAATTTTCATAATAGGTACACCTAAACTATGACAGACAAAATGAGAAAAAAAATTCCAGAAAATAACATTGTAGGATTTTTAATGAATTTATTTGCAAATTATGGTGGAAAATAAGTATTTGGTCAATAAAAAAAGTTTCTCAATACTTTGTTATATACCCTTTGTTGGCAATGACACAGGTCAAACGGTTTCTGTAAGTCTTCACAAGGTTTTCACACACTGTTGCTGGTATTTTGGCCCATTCCTCCATGCAGATCTCGTCTAGAGCAGTGATGTTTTGGGGCTGTCGCTGGGCAACACAGACTTTCAACTCCCTCCAAAGATTTTCTATGGGGTTGAGATCTGGAGACTGACTAGGCCACTCCAGGACCTTGAAATGCTTCTTACGAAGCCACTCCTTCGTTGCCCGGGCGGTGTGTTTGGGATCATTGTCATGCTGAAAGACCCAGCCACGTTTCATATTCAATGCCCTTGCTGATGGAAGGAGGTTTTCACTCAAAATCTCACGATACATGGCCCCATTCATTCTTTCCTTTACACGGATCAGTCGTCCTGGTCCCTTTGCAGAAAAACAGCCCCAAAGCATGATGTTTCCACCCCCATGCTTCACAGTAGGTATGGTGTTCTTTGGATGCAACTCAGCATTCTTTGTCCTCCAAACACGACGAGTTGAGTTTTTACCAAAAAGTTCTATTTTGGTTTCATCTGACCATAAGACATTCTCCCAATCCTCTTCTGGATCATCCAAATGCACTCTAGCAAACTTCAGACGGGCCTGGACATGTACTGGCTTAAGCAGGGGGACACGTCTGGCACTGCAGGATTTGAGTCCCTGGCGGCGTAGTGTGTTACTGATGGTAGGCTTTGTTACTTTGGTCCCAGCTCTTTGCAGGTCATTCACTAGGTCCCCCCGTGTGGTTCTGGGATTTTTGCTCACCGTTCTTGTGATCATTTTGACCCCACGGGGTGAGATCTTGCGTGGAGCCCCAGATGAGGGAGATTATCAGTGGTCTTGTATATCTTCCATTTCCTAATAATTGCTCCCACAGTTGATTTCTTCAAACCAAGCTGCTTACCTATTGCAGATTCAGTCTTCCCAGCCTGGTGCAGGTCTACAATTTTGTTTCTGGTGTCCTTTGACAGCTCTATGGTCTTGGCCATAGTGGAGTTTGGAGTGTGACTGTTTGAGGTTGTGGACAGGTGTCTTTTATACTGATAACAAGTTCAAACAGGTGCCATTAATACAGGTAACGAGTGGAGGACAGAGGAGCCTCTTAAAGAAGAAGTTACAGGTCTGTGAGAGCCAGAAATCTTGCTTGTTTGTAGGTGACCAAATACTTATTTTCCACCATAATTTGCAAATAAATTCATTAAAAATCCTACAATGTGATTTTCTGGAAAAAAAATTCTCAATTTGTCTGTCATAGTTGACGTGTACCTATGATGAAAATTACAGGCCTCTCTCATCTTTTTAAGTGGGAGAACTTGCACAATTGGTGGCTGACTAAATACTTTTTTCCCCCACTGTAGTGTGGTCTACAGCTTATCATGAGGTACTCTACCTCAGGCGAGCAATACCTCGAGACTTCTTTAATATTAGACATTGGCACCAGCTGTTATTGACAAATAGACACACACCCCCACCCCTCGTCTTACCAGACGTAGCTGCTCTGTCCTGCCGATGCATGGAAAACCCAGCCAACTCTATATTATGTGTAGTCGTTCAGCCACGACTCGGTGAAACATAAGATATTACAATTTTTAATATCCAGTTGGTAGGATAGTCTCGATCGTAGATCATCTAGTTTATTTTCCAGTGATTGCACGTTGGCCAATAGAAAGGATGGTAGAGGCAGTTTACCCACTCGCCGACGAATTCTCACAAGGCACCCCGACCTCCGCCCCCTGTATTTCCGTATTTTCTTAACGTGAATATCCTTCGTGTCGGACTCATTAAATACAAAATATTTGTCCAGTTCGAGGTCAGTAATCGCTGTTCTAATGTCCAGAAGCTATTTTCGGTCATAATAGACGGTAGCAACAACATTATCTACAAAATAAGTTACAAACAATGCGAAAAAACTAACAAAATAGCACAGTTGGTTAGGAGCTTGTAAAATGGCAGCCATCCCCTCTGGCGCCATTATAATGTATTGCTAGATTGATGACTAAAACCATAGTGAAACAGTGCAAGACGGCTGTCAGCGCAACTGGTTTTAATAGTCTTTGTTGAATCCCAAAAAGAAAGTCCTTATCCAGTAAAGAGCAAACTTACTGTTGAGAGCAAGATTGCTAAAAATAGCTCAGGATAATTCAGATCACTGCAGCAGCAGCTCCTGTAAGTAATTAGGATGCTGTCTCACACTATCTTCCCGGCAGTACTATTAGTCTGTCCCTGGAAGAATTACACACAATGGATCATGTTGGAGATAACTAATCAATTTATACAAAGGAACCTGTAACCAATTATTTGTCTGACTTTGCCAAGTGAATGGGAAAACAGCAGTGTTCTCAGAAGCAGCTCTGACAATAACCTGGCATGCCTCTTTAGCAGGAGTGATTTCTCAAAGCTAAACTCAACCAAAACAGCACTTAAAGGCCAACAATGGCCAGAGAATAGAGTAAAATAGAGATGGAAACAGAGG